AAAATGGCGAGTGCTTTTATACATTGCAGTTCAATTTTTTACAAGTTTTTGCTAGATAATCTAGGAAATAATTTGTCAAGCAAGTTTGGATTCGACGCTCGTGTATATAAAAAATATCAATTTTCTTCATAAGGATAATAGTTCATGCATACATATATGTGCGTGTAAAAATTAATAATATTAATACAATTATTTGGTAAAATTTATTTGTGTTACGTTGATAGAGCACGGGCATAGGAGATACTATATATCATATGGATTGGCCATTGCTATCAATCAAAGAGAAAAAAGGATTGCTCATGATCATGATGCGTAGCACTATTCCTATAAAGTTCACGAGCAGCTTTTTGATAACTTTATCCGTTCAGTCTTACAGTAACGTTAGTATTATTATTACATTGGTATCCAAAATAAATATTTAACATATTCAGAAGATACGTTGTTTGTGATATTATCAATATTTGTCATGATACGAAAATACAATTGAAATTTTTATAAATGCCTTATCTTCTATATTAAGGTTTTTTCTAATTTTTCTTTCAGATCCTAAAAACGTCTTATTCAATATTTAACGTGTTACAAAAGTGAAATATAAATAATGATGTAGTTTTGAATAAATTATAAATTCTAAATCTTATAACTTTTGTTTCCACACATTTTTCCACTTCAGCCTTATTTTCTATTCCGATTATTCAAACACTGATGCAAGCAGATAACATGCATACAATGTAATAGGTATAATACATATAACAATTTATTTTTATATCTAAGCAGAAATCGAGCGTCAGTTAAACATGAAAAATATAATGTCTTCTTATACCGTTACCTGCGACACTCTTTTGCGGTCGTACCAGAAATAATCCAGTCTTCTGCCTCACCCGTCATACTTGGCGAGCGGATATGTGACAGTTAACTTGGAAAGTATTTAAACACTTTATTCGTTACTTCATCTGCAGAATGATTGGTAACTAATAAGACAATCAAGTATATGGAATATTCATTTGCATCGCAAAATGAAGAAAAAATAATGACGTATAAGCAACACTAATTTCGGCTCTAGCGTTAAAGTCAGAAAAGAATAATTTCTCAGGCTTTGCTACATGTGATGTACTGAGTATAGAATTAATACATGGTAGTTCCCCTGTACACTCGTCATACCTCGCAGATATACAAGCAACTTGAGAAATATGCTCTGACACTGAGTATATTATGCATCACATTCTTATCGCTACACTCTTGTATTTTTATGTAATAAAACGGGAAACTGTATGCGGAAGGTATGATATTCTTCGTAGTTCCGATGGACAGGAGACATACAAATATTTTATTCAATGGGAATATGACAACGTGAAAGGAAAACATCCCTCGATAATTGCAACTAGGAAAACTTTTATAATTGTAGTATTCGCAAGAACGGAAAAGAACGTGCACTCCATAATAAATGATTAAATGACTTCATGTCGATTTTTTAATGGCGGTAATTGTAGTAGAGTTGATAAGATGCTGAAGAGGGTAAAATTATACACAGTCTGTCGCAAGACGTGCTCGGTTACATTTAAGTGAAATTTATTGACCATTACGATAATAAAATAACATGTGTCGTATCAGTGTATTTGTTTTATAATTTTGTTGCATTATCAGCCACAATTCTGGGGAACCGATATTTCGAAATAAGGTGCGTGATTATAAATGCTTACAAATATTGCTTTCTAGTTATATTTTCACGTATCGTATATTGCATTCCGTTTAAATAAGGTTGTTCAGTTTTTACCCGCCATAACATTGGACGCGATCTGTATGTACGTTAAACGTGTATAAAATTTTTCTTCATCGAATCCATTCATGTATTTAGTGTTTGCAATTTAAATTAGGTTGTAGAATTTAATACTTCACGTAATCTGTTTATATAACATTATATTACCTTCTGTATTAAATTCAATTTTTCTCATAATTAACTTACACGCCTGGACATATAATTAATATAATTAAGAAAAGGTATACTTTTCGCAATTCTGCAAACTACTCTTTTAGATATTGCTTTACATGTAGAAAGAGGTTATGCTTTTGTGCAACACACTGATAAGTTGTTTGTAAAGGAAGAGATTTAAATATGCAAATACTTTCTTTACATTTTTCAATGTATACCGTTGGTGGTATATGGCGACCTGTTGAATGGTCATCGGATGGTGCCAAGCTGCTGTATAGTATATTTACCTTTATTATAGTATCTTCGGAATACTTTTTGATGATAACTCAATTTATGGATATAGTACTTGTTGTCGACAATATCGATGATTTTACCGCTAATACTCTAATGTTTTTGACTATTGTTGCTGTTTGTTGTAAAGCGACGGTCGTTGTTGTGCGTCGGAATGCGATCATCAACATAGTGCAATTGTTGTTGAAAGCACCACATAAACCTCGAAACGAGGATGAAGTAGCTATCCAAACGAAATTTGATAAGTTTATCAGGTAAGTTCGTATATTTATTAAAAATTTGTAATGATAAATTTCTGTACGTTGTAAGTACAAATAATTTGTGCGTTTATACAATTTAATATCGGTTCTATGTTTGCAGAACGTTTACGTTAAGATACACTTTTTTGGCGACGGGCTCCATTACAGGCCTCACTCTAGGATCAATATTAAATGCTATGCATGGTCATTTACCTTATCGAGTATGGCTACCATGGAATTACGATATACCTCTGGTGTTCTGGATTATATCTATTCATCAAATCTTAACTTTACTTTTCGCCTGTATCATAAATGTCGGGACGGAAACTCTAGTTCTCGGATTGCTCATACAAACGTGCGCCCAACTTGAAATTTTCGAAAGTCGTCTTCACAAATTTATAATTAATAAAACAGTTAGAGATCTGGGACATACACTTTCGACGTCGAATAAGAACGAAGTAGGGATATCGGAATGCGTACATTATCATCTCAGCATTTACAAGTGAGTCACGTAAGAATCCGTTTTTATGCATATATTCAGTCGCCTCTTTATGTACGTGTGTATGTGTGCATGCGCGTGTCCATTATTTAATTTTCATGTCTAAGAACTGCTGTTATTTACAACAATGATTGATGCTTATGATGAAAAATCGTTTAAAATCAAAAGATAACATAATTAACGTTATTAATTGCAATTAATAGACCATTATTATGAGCTCGAAAGCAGAGTATTCGCAAAATGATTTAATTATATTGTCATTCCGTGGTAGATTGTGCAGAAAAATAAAATTTAATTAGATTAATTTAAGTATCTGTTTAGAACCAAGTAGTTCTTCTTTCAGTAAATGACGCATGCTAAAAGATACATTTCCCACAATATTTAAAATTATTGGAATTATGTTATAAAATTATATATTATAACAGTAATTTCGCATTCAATGCATGATTTAACATGAAACCATTACAGATTCGCGAAAACGGTAAACGTCATATTCAACCAGGTGCTCTTCGTTCAGTTTTTTTCTAGTATAATAGTATTATGTACATGTGTATATTACTTGTCAACCCATACTGCGGAACTGTCTGGACTTGTGTCTTTTTTGGTATATACGATTTGCATGTTTGCACAAATTTTCGTTTACTGCTGGTCCGGAAACGAAGTCATACTTAAGGTAACTCTCTATACTCCATAATTCGTACCAAAATATTCCGTACCAAAGGGATGTGTTTTACCGAATTAATGGAAAATAGCGAGTGCTTTTATATACAACTTAATTTTTGTGTGTGTGAAATTAATAATATTAATAAAATTATTTGGTATTATTATGCAATAATAAATTTATTTGTGTCACGTTGGCAGAGTACGAGCATAGGAGACACTATATATCGTACAGATTGGCCACTGCTATCAATCAGAGAGAAAAAAGGATTGCTCATGATCATGATGCGTAGCACTATTCCTATAAAGTTCACGAGCAGCTTCTTGATAACTCTATCCCTTCAGTCTTACAGTAACGTTAGTATTATTATTACTTTGGTGTCAAAATAAATATTGACATATTAAGAAGATATGCTGTTTGTGATATTTGACATATTAACGAGATACGCTGTTTGTGATATTACTGATATTTGTCGCGTACTTACGAAAATACAATTAAAATTTTCATAAATGTTTTATCTTCTATATTAAGATTTCTTTTAATTTTCCTTTCAGATCCTAAAAACGTCTTATTCAGTATTTAACGTGTTACAAAAGTGAAATATAAATAATGATGTAGTTTTGGATAAATTAGAAATTCTAAATCTCATAACTTTTGTTTCCACACATTTTTACTTCAGCCTTATTCCCTATTCCGATTATCCAAACACTGACGCAAGCAGATGACATGCACGCGCACGCACAGTAAATGTAACTACAATGTGTAGCACAATGTAATAGGTATAACGTTACCAAACTAATTATGCTAGAGTTTCCTTAATTCTTAATGTTTTAAGAATTGAAAAACCATATGTAATGATAAGACACTTTCTCATTTAAAATACAGCGTTAGGTACAGGTACGTCAAAACAGTATATTCAACCAAGTGCTCTTTGTTCAATTCTTCGGCAGTATCTTGAAATGCAAGTGTATTTTACATACCGGCATATTTCGGAGTCCGGGACTGCGACTTTGCTGGTGTACACCATTTGTATGTTCGTGCAAATTTACGTTTACTGCTGGTCCGGAAAAAGTAATGCTCAAGGTAAATATAACTGCTTGCATTCCACGATCTATTCTCACACGTAACCTACAACAAGTGAAACAAATGTAACATATTAATTGTAATTATGTTCAACGTATCGCACACAAAATGTCAATTTATGTTGTCCATACACAACGTCGAGATTATCAATCGCTCACCAATCATTCTATCATTCTATCGTCGATATCTATGATTATGAAAATTATAACTGCTCTCTAAATTGATGTTAGATATATGATGTACGTGTGTGTGTGACTTGGTTAACTGAAATCGATAGTAATATTGAACCCAACTGCTTGGAGCGATTATATGTAAATCAAGTAATAAAAATCAATAGAGGTGCGCACCAATCGAGGGTGCGAATGAAATATCCTTCTCGGACACACACCCGATTATAGCGCAAAAATATCGGTGTAAATTTATTCTACCTGGTAAATAATAATGTTTTTTCCAACTTATTTACACAAAATCTTTTGTGTGTGTACATGTTTTTAGGTATCTTATAATTTAGATACCTAAAGTTATTAGATCTTATTTAAGGAAAAAACTGTATGTTTAGTACATATGTGAAATTATTAATGATTACACTTTCGCGATATAATTGTAATTAGTTTATTTATTTTACGACAGAGCACGAGCATAAGAAATGCGGTATGTCACTTGGACTGGTCGTCACTATCAGTCAATGAAAAAAAAATTGTTAATAATCATGAAAAACGTAGCACGAAAAATGCTAATATCTTTAATTATTTACAATTATCTCATTTATCGTGTTTTAAATAGCAGATAATATAATGCACTAAAATGTACAATTCATGAAATATTTATAAAACAAAGACACACATGCGCGCCCGTGCACACAAATCAGATATAATTCAACAATCTTTGAAAGTATGGGATATATTTTTAGAGAATTAGTTTTATAAAATTTATTATAAAGTTTTTTATTTTTGACTATTCAATTGATAATTCAGTAAATATTTGTTGCAATAAATTGAGTATAAAACACCAATATTTTTCGCTACAATTTCTAAGTCTATATAAATACTTGGTCAAATTACATAATAATAATAATTAGTTACAGGAAACATTACCTATATATATTTAGAAATAGTTTTATTCATCATCAATTTTGCGAGTTACAAACTGTCTTCTCATTTCAAATGTAACAATACCAACAGCCACACCAACATTTAAACTGTCAATGCCGTTAGTCAATGGTATGTTAACACGAGTGCAATTTCTTGCACGTAACAATTTACATGATTCGAGACTAACACCCTCGGTTTCACCCCCAATAACAAGTACCATTTCTCTTTTTGTAAAATCTAATGTATAGTAAGGTTCAACTGGAAGTTGAGATATTAATTTTTTTACTAGCAATTTAGTTTTTGCAGTTTGTTTATATTGGTTGGTTTGACTTGTCAGTTGGTCTATCGCGTTATCTTCAGCAGTTTGATCGTCGTTCGCATTTACATAATCTTGTTTCGTATAATTATCATTGCCTTCGATGGAAGTGCTTACAGTTGACTCTTGATTAACCGTGTCTTTTAAATCATTTTCATACGCTATATTGTTGTCCGCTAGAAAAATTGCAGACTCATCATTTATCAACGTTGGAATCTCATCCCATGAAACGGACGTAATTATTGGTAGGCGAAAATGTGCACCTGTAGCACTGCGCACAACTTTGGGCTCCCACAAATCCACACACCCTATATAAGGCAAGAAAAATCCAGATTAATGGAAAAATTACAGACTATAATTTTAGTAATCGTGCAAATTACCTTTCATTAATAATAACTTTTCGCAACCAACTGCAGCAGCAGCTCTTATAATAGTTCCCAAATTTCCTGGTTCTCTGACATTGTCACAGACAATAGTCAAAGGTATAGCGTCCTTGGCAGGTTCCTTATCGTCCATATCTGGGATTTCGAAGATTCCTGTACCAAAAAAATTGCATTAACTATATACAGATATCTACTTTTTGTAGATTGTGCTAATTGTCAGTCGTCTCCTTTGCGAGATCATATAAAATCAAAATATTTACCAATTATCCCAGGCGAAGTTGTTAAGTTGGACCACAATTGAATCGTACGATACGGAATCTTATACAGTTTTACTTCCTTGGGAAGCGACAGCGGCAGTATGTCGGACAATCTGTTGAAAAATATTACTTTTGGCACTATCCCTGCCTGAATCGCATCTTCGATTAATCGAAAGCCTTCCAGTAGCATTTGACGAGTCTTTTCTCTTCTCTTTTTCGTTTTAATATCTATCATCAATGAGCTGAAACATGAAATACAAACAGTATTATTCGTAGGACTATACTTTCTAGAGGCTATTTGAGCATTATTTAGAAAAACTATATACCTGATGAGCTTATCGTTTGCATCAAGTGCTATATATCTTTGTTCTGTGGCAGAACCTTCTTTAATTTCATTTTCCTTCTTATCTTTCTTTTTCTCTTCGCGTGTATTGACTCTTGGTCTCCTCCTACGTGTTTTAGGAGTTTTTTGTTCAACAGCTTTCGATGTATCATCAGTGTCCAAAAGCTCGTGTTCATTGACAATAGCAACAGGTCTTCGACTACTCCATCCAGAACTATATCCGCATTTAATTGTCGATCTTAAATCGGCTGGTCGCAAAAGTTTTGCGCCGCGAATCGACCTAAGTGATAACTGTACAACACTCAGCAACATTTTTATTTTGAAAAATCTATTCCAAATGTCATGCACTGTTCATTGAATAATTATTTTAATAATCACTATATTATATAATAATGTTTTGTGTTAACTTTTTATAACGCGACACACGTTGTTAATTCAAGATACCGAAAGTCTGAATAAATTTGCCACATGCTCTTGCATTCACCCGGCGCCAGGAATATCATAGGCACCCTAACCTCTTAACACGTCTAGAAATGCGCTCGGGAGGTATGCAACAACCTTACAGGTTTCTCTCTGACCTTACTTAGCGAGGACTCAAACCCTACTTAGCAAAGACTCAAACCCATTTAGCGAAAACTCAAACCTCACGATATTTTATAGTTTAAAAAAATATGTTATAAAAAATATTAATATGGACATTATATAATATATTGTCTTGTAAATATCCCTTCATATAATGGAAGATTGTATTTTGTATTACAAAGCGAACTCGCGACAGAAGTTCTTGATGAGGCATTGCGAATAATTGCATACTTGCAACACACCATATGGCTTGGTAAAATTAATGACAGTTATTAACAACTTATAGCGACTCTTACTATAGCGTAGCTGACACTTTCCGACTTTTCGATACGAAAATGTTGTAATTATGGTGTAATCTTGCCATTTGATATGGAATTGAGGAAGAATAATATTTCAAGACGTTGCAGTGGGCCCTCCCTTAGGAAATATGTCGTGCTTTCAAGGTAGTATTTTTACTGCAAAATTCTCACAATTCTATTTATAAAACGTAACTTAATTATATCGCTAATGTTACATATCATTTATATAGTCATCATGCATTTTTGTTAATGAATTATTAACCCTTCGCAGAACATGTGTAATTCTGCTGCTTTCGTCGAACAAGTGGGTCCTTTACGCCAGTTAAGATTTTCAAGCTGTAATGGTGCCATAAAAAATCTGAAAGAATTCAGTGACTTAAGAACCCCTCGATAAAAAGTGATTTGGATCGACAGGAATTAAGAGGATTATATGTCAATAATAGCAAAGCAGAGACCACTTTGAACGATGACTCATATCGAGCTAAAAAAAGCTAAAGTTATTAAAAACCAGATGTTCATGGAGGTCACTTGAGATCATCAGGTGACTACGAACGGATCACATACCAACGAGTTTGTGCCAATAATATCTGCAGTAAATGTTTGGAGATCTATTCTTTGCAAAGAGTTCGATGCGTCAACATTTATCGGGTTTGTTTATAGACTTGACTGAAAAATGAATTGAAGGAAGAACTGAAACAGAAGTTTTTATTACAGTGCAGTGCCCGCAGTGACGGTTTGTAATAATTAATGTGAAAGAAGATGATATCTATATAATCTAGATATCTTTCAGCATTGTTTTAAACTTTACACGACTTTCTGGACTTTCACAGAATCTGTTGATGAATTCTTGCCATAACGTGATGCAGTCGAAGAAAATATCGTCGCATAGAATTAAACTTCCTTTTTTCCCGAATTGATCGATGTAATAACAGTGCGTTTCTCCAATTAATAAAAATAAGTGACGAATAATCACAATGATAATAATTATACATAATGTATATATAGCCTATTGATATTTATTAAGTTTTATGTGTCGTATAGATATATTGTATCTTTCCTTTATATCGTTTATCTTTTATAAAAATAACTATCTCCTTGTATCGACAGGTTCGTAAATATGGAGAACGAAGCAAAATGAAATTCAGTTAAAAGTGTTAAATTTAGACGTTTCTCTTTGTGCATTACTGTGTTATTGTATATATTGAACAAGAGGATATAACACAATGGAATTTCAGGAAAAATCTGCTTTTGCTCAAGAAAATCCAATTTATGATGCCATCCCTTTAATTATTATTGATAAAACGGGAAGGAAATATCCCAAAGGTCTGTGGAGCTTTATATCATATTTATATCATTATTTAACTAAATTTTCCTTTTTTTTTCTCGTAAAAGTGATACAAATGTAATTCTAGAACTTAATAGCTTCTTGATTCGGCTATACAGAAATAGAGTAGTTTTCGAAATTTGAATATATTAAAATACATTAAATGTTACTTTGTTTATTATTTCAGACGAGGCAGAAAATCTAAGAAAACATTACGTTTCTAGTCCATTTTGGATGAAATTTCGTTTACTATTATTTTGGATAATGTGGGTTGTATTGATAATGGCGATGATAATCTCTTTTCTTACATACTTTTGCTTTACACCCCGAATGTGCCATAGTTCAAATACACATAAGAATATACACAAATAAGTAAGTGTACATATCCAGAAAATTAATATACATATATTCTCTCATTACAAAAATAAACAATTTCGTAGAATCATTAAATTCTGTTACGCAATTAGTAATCAATTTTTATCAAAAAACAAATTTTTCGGAGTTTGATAAACTTGGTTGATAAGAATTTAATTAATTTACTTCGCATTCAATGCAATTTTAACAATTTAGGGAATTTTCTTCAACATTTTTCAACTCACTTTGTAATGTATATATATATACATATATTAGTTAAAACTATATATTATACATTTTAATTTTTAATAGAATAATAAATTTTTAATTACCGTTGAATTTATTAATATATTTATTAATATATATTTTAAATGTATGTTTCAGTAAATACATCGTCTCATAAGATGCAATGGAAACGCAATGGCGCATGATAATAATTTAGATTATTATATGTTTGTATTGTATATTCATGGTTCAAGTAATAATATTAGTCAATGGTATTAAAATTATTAATAATATGACAATTGAAGAATATCAACGCTTAGCTAGTAGAAAAGTGTTTGAAAGAAATTAAATTGTTGTACACTTTCATTATACCTTTATTACTATAGCGCAATTTTACAGCATAAAAAATTCAAGATGGATAAATTGTATTTCTTTTGTCCTCTTTTAAAAATATTAAATCTAGTGACTTTGTTGTAGCACTTTTTTATAAATAGCAAGATTTAATTTTACTAAATTTTATATTTTACTTAAAATTAATTTAATTAGGTATAATAATAATGGAAATATAAAATTAAACTTAATTACATACACATTCTCATATTATTTTATATTTTATATTGATAAGATTATATAATTTTATATCACATGCCAGAATAATTACATATGATAAATTACATAAAAATTTTCTCTCTTTTTCTCTCTCTTCTCATTTTAATCCTAAAATTTAATTGATTCTAAATCGATGTTATTTTAACTTTAATTTACTTAGAAAATTTTATTTTATTACAAAAATTATATCACATGCCAGAATAATTACATATGATCACACACAATTAGATTTAAAAATTCTCTCTCTCTCTCACCTCATTTTAATCCTAAAATTTATTTGACCTTAAATCAATATTATTTTAACTTTAATTTACTTAGAAAGTTTATTTTATTATATAAATTATATACATATATAAAAAATAACATAAAATCTAACATAAAAAAAGATTTATTTTTGCACATTTTTTACTTAAATTTATATCAATACTCTATTCAACAATTAATTTTTGAAAACACAACAGAATAAACAAAATTACGTTATTTAATCTTCTTGTTTAGCAAGTGACTGTGATTGTTTCAGAACCGACTGCGATTCTCGATTTGACTTTCCTTGAATTAACGTTGTTGAACTCAACATAACAGAAATATGTTCTGGCAAAGGACACGCGATCAACAGAAGGTTCTCCGCGTTATAATACTTATTCAATACCTGATGCAATTGCGTGAATGCGGCGCAAATGTTATTCTTCACTGGTTTAAACAGAATAAATTCAGTTTCTTTGTTAGCTAAATATAACTGCATCGATTGCTGTATCTCGGGACATTTGAATTTAATTACCCTCAATACGTCGGCTACTATAGTTGCTATCTCTTGCGGACTTCCTAGGGCATTTTCTTGAATCGAGCTTGCATCGAGCAACTTTTCCTTCTCCAATAACTTAATAATAGGATAAATCAATAAATAAGTTGCGTGTTGTATTAATCGCTGGCACGTAAGTCTCAACTTTGCGTCCACATGCTTCCTCGAGTCGATAAGTTGCTCCTTCATCTGTGGTGCACCTTCCAAAAGAAACTGCAATAACGCGTTGTTCGACAGGGTAAAGAACCTAGAACTCTTTTCGAGCAGCCCGAATGCAGCGGTCTTCACTTTAGAGAAGTCTAAACTATATTCTTTGATAGTAAAATCTACTTGAAACGGAGCAATTTGTTCTCTAAGAATCAGCAAGTGCTTTATCTGAAATAATTCTGCATCTAATGTACTCGCTCTCTTCTCAATTTCCTGTCTGGCATTCTCGATACTCTGGACGCAGAGGGAAATGGCCTCCTGGCTCAATGACTGGAACACAGATCTGTCCACGCAACGGTAGAGCCTCGACAGGCAGACCAGAGTCCTGCGTACCGTGGGATACCACATAGCATGCAGATCCGCTGGAGAACTCCCCATGTGTGTCTTCTGATAAATGGAATCGATAACTATGTGATTTCGAGAAACTGGTTCTAGGACAGAGCTGTCAGTGGACGAGACGGAGATCCTCTTCATGCGGGTCTGGCGATTCGCTTCCCTGATCGATTCCGCTATTTCTTCCATCATCTTCAGCTTTTCTGGATACGCCAGGTCGCCTGACGAAGGATTGTAATTCAGTACGTCGGATTGCAGATATAAATGCGCCCGAAATACCAATCTCTCCTGAACATCGTGCAACAGCTGTAAGCAAATGTTTCCGAAGCCTTCCAGCGGTTCGAAGTTGTTCTGCACGTGTTCGTCGAGCATCTCTATTCGTAGAATGCAGCAAATCTCGGCCAATGTCTCGAGATGATTAATGTGTATTATGAAAGGTCTCAATGCGTCATACAGAGAAGTGCACAAGCTCTCCAGGTATGCGGTCAGTCCGCTTGATTGTTTCGAAAAAAATTCGTAGAACAGTTTATGTTCATCTATCGATGCATGCAAGAGTAATGCACAAGAATGTCGCACTAAACTGCAATGGTCGCCGTTATATTTTTCTCTTATGGAATTCAGAGACTTTTGTATGCTTGTACCTAGCACCAAGCCTCGCTGACTCCAATAATATTGATGGCACTCAAGCAACAAGCTGTCATATTCCTGCCTTTTGTACGATTTGCTTTCAATTTGCCTGATAACCGGCCTTGTTTTGGACAAGATCGTCTGAAATCTGCCATAGAATAGCGCGAGAGCCGCGTCTGTGTTCTCCGATGAATTTTCATTGTCCTTCAAGTTCAAAATGCTTTCAGTGGTTTTAGAGAACAAGTTGGAGATGTAATTCTGTATCAACGCAATCGCCTTCGACTGGCAATGCTTGTATCTCACCAGGTAAGTCCCACTTTCATTGTACGACGAGTTGTTTTGCATAAAATCTATGTTTGTGTCAATTTTATCTAATATAGAAAAAAACATTTCGCTGTTCACCGACAAGGTGGACGCGTCTAGCTTCTCTGTAATCACGTCGATCTCCTTGAAATATTTAACGTACTCCGTAATGCCGTCGATTGTCGCATTTAACTGCTTTTGATCGAAGATGAGTTGTTCGCTGGCTTCGTACAGAGAGGTGGTCTTGCTGGAAACCTCAGTATACTGCTTGTAGAGTGCAGAGAAATCGTCCAACGTCTCTTCTATCTGAGAACAAACGTCCTGGCACTCGGACCTCCTCGATTTCAGCTCTTCAAGGTACAGGTTGTACTTCATGTCGTACATGGAAACGTATTTCCTTTCTAGAAGCAAGAAATGCTGAAGTAACTCCTGATACCTTTCTATCGGGGGTGTATTCTCCTGAGAATTCTGCTCGTGTAGCTTCTCATCGCCGTCGATCACGCTGGACTGTAGATTCGATAACGGGAAGAACGAAGTCACAACGATCTCCAGATTTGTCAAGCAATCCTTTTGACACTCTGTCAACGGGGCCAGAGAATTGTCGTTCTGGTCCCACTTAATGAGGTTATGTGGAATTACCTTCGTCTGAGACATGATTTTATTTGCAACAGAGATTTTCAAATAATGACATAATCGCACGTGTCTCGTTTACGCGTAAGTACTAGATCGTGTAATTAAATTTAAGCGCGCGTATTAAATCGGCAATTCCAGAACCTCGTAAAACTTGACAGAAACTGTTGACGTATAATACTCGACTGTCGACAGTGTCGAAATGGCTCAACATGATCGACATTATCGATTCGATATACGTCTCGACTTCTCGACCTACCTGAGAGAGGCCATCCCGGCCTTTTTCGTGTGTTGCTGTAATGCTGTGTTGCATTTTCCGACGCGCCGCCTGAGAAAGTGCAACTCAACTACATCGTATCGCTCGGTAACCGCACATGGTTTGCGTCCGTGCTAATGGTTCGTGTCCGAACTAGCCAGCTGGAGGGGATATTCTGGTCGCGGCGGCCGCGCTTCCATCTTGCGTATTCCAATTAATAACGAATTACGATAATAGACCATATGGGCTCTCCCCATGGTCCTTCTTTTATCTGAATAAAAAAAAAAAATTACGATAATTAAAATTACAAAATTAAGACTACATTCTTCAAAATTATTACGAATTTTGTATCTCATAATTTTGAAAAATATAATCGTAATTTTATAATTTTAATTTTCAGATAAATGTCAAATTTTGACATAATTGTCATAAATTCGTTACCTTAATTATAAAATTTTAATCATCACTCACCGACCGATGCGCAACAGCGGAGTTATTCTGCAACGTCGCTACGATGATTCTGTAACAAAGAAATGTAGAATCCGAATTAAAACAGGATGCAAGAGAGAGAGACAATCAATATTTCAAAAAATGATTACTATATAAACACTAAATTTTATATTATTGTTTATTAAGCAAATTTAATGAAATAATTTTGTAATTTCTTAAGAATACTCTATCCATTGAACATAAGCTTCTATAGAATTTCTAAAATAAAACTTTTTCTTTAACTTTTATTTTCTGAATAACTATCCGGTTAAAAAGTAAATGACCCATCAGTATAAGATATAATATGTGTATATGTATAAATAAATTATATTTACCGCATGTTGCTCCGCCGGCGCCTGATGCCTCCTCCTAGGCCTCCACCTCCTCTCAGGCTGCTCGGGATGTCAGTTACTGTTTCCTCGATGCGAAGATACTCCTTCCCGCGTAGATATTTTCTGTAACATAAAAATAATCGAATCGACTAAATACGTGTCACGCGCATCAAACATTTTATTCGTTATTCCGATTAATGTTTTCCTAAATTACTTCTTCGAAAAAAGTCTCTACGTTAGAATCAACTTGAATCAAATTTTTCAATTTATTTCTTTTTACTAATTTATATTTCGAAACACTGTTTAATGTAGCAACTAAATAAAAACAAACGAAAAAAGAGATTCCATAATATCTTTAGAAAAAATAAAAAATAACAACTTACCAGAAGTGTTAGTACGCCGATCCCCGATGCCTCTCCTAGGCCTCCACCTCCTCTCAGGCTGCTCGAGATGTCCATCGTGTTCCCTCGATGCGAAGCTAATGGTCCTTCCAGCGTGGATATTTTCTGTAACATAAAAATAATCGAATCGATTAAATAATTGTCACGCGCATTAAACATTTTGTTCGTTATTCAGATTAATACACATTCAAATTACTTCTTCGCAAAAAGGTCGTTAGAATCGTTAGAATCAACTTGAATCAAATTTTTCAAATAATTTCTTTTTACTAATTTATATTTTAAAACACGGTTTAATGCAGCAACTGAATAAGCACAAACAAAAAGACAGATTCTATAATATCTTTAGAAAAAAATAAAAAGTAACATTTACCAGAAGTGTTGATACGCCGATGCCCGATGCCTATCCTAGGCCTCCTCCTCCTCTCA